TGTAAAAACTCCAGACCCTAATGTGGAGCCAAAGGCCAGGAGCCAGGTCAGACCTGCCCTGAGCTTTGGCCCAGGAGCCAAGGGTGTGGTAAGGCACTGAGGGGCACATTTGGTGAAGGGTAGGAACTTATTAGGTAGCTAGCAGAGACAGGGCACTGTCTTGGGGGATGGAGGATGGGAGCTGGGGTGGACAGCACTTGTCTAGTAGTGTCAGGCCAGCTTTTTGCCTTAGGATATACTCAGAGTCCACTCAGGGCTACTTTTACAAAGGCACACAGCATGTAGCTCATTGCATTTCTGGCTTTCACTCTGCAGTCTTACCACCGAAACACTGAATTCCAAAAGAATCACTTTTGGAAGCTGCGAAAATTGGTCAGCGTTTTTTTTAGGCTGTCTTTGCAGGCACCTTTTAACTGAACTCTCTCAATCTCCACTACCCACATGCAGCAAATACTTTTTCATAAGCTAGAAATGAAGAAATGCTTCTTGACAAGTTTTTTGAAGGCCTACTTGCTGCTCACAGCAACCACCACATAAATAACAGCATTTCTGCATTTGCTTTGTTGTCCTCAGTTTTGATAGTGGAATTTCCTCCAGCAAGCACTCCTTTTCAGGTTCTCACCAAAGCCAGCTAGGAAAACTCTCCTAAAGAGCCAAAGGACCACGGGGGTCTTTGCCCTCATGCTCTAGGGGTAGACAAAGAACTAACTACTGAAAGCGCTGATGCCAAAGGATGCCAATCAATGATGACCCCAACGGTGTGAGGTAGTGGGACCTCAGAGCTCACTTGTACACAATGTGCAAAAATGAACATAAGAAATTACCTTGGTTGATCAAAAAACAACAAAAAAAAACACAAGAAAAAGTATCATACAAATGAATGTAAATGAAAAAGTATCACACAAACGAATGTAAATGCAAAGTAAGATGATAATGTAAATCTCATACTACCTATAATGGGAGGGAGGGGCAAGAGAGTCAGAGATGAGTTAGTTCTCTCCACAACATGGGACGACCTTGCGCAAATACATCGTGTTACTTTGTCCACAGAATACTGACCATGGGTGATTAAAAAAGAGGAGATGACACAGGTGACAGCACAAGGGCATTTTCCTCTATACTTAGCACTAGCCTGACCTTCAATGGAGAGCGAAATTCAAAAATCTGGCCTGTGTCCAGAAGACAGCAGTCATAAGATCTAAAGGAGGTGGAAGGAAAGGAAAAAGGCCTTCCTTCGCAGTGAAGGAAGAAGACAAAGAATGTTGGGCAAAAATTGCCCAGGCCAAGCTGCACTGGATAGCACTCAGTCACCCTTGTGTTAACTACATCCAAGTAACTTAAAAATGAATGTAGGGCCCTGCCAGGTGGCTCAGTTGGTTGGAGCATTGCCCATACATCAAAAGATTGCAGGTTTGATTCCTGGTCAGGGCACATACCTAGGTTGAGGGTTCGGTCCTTGGTTGGGGCGCATACAGGAGGCAACCCGTAGATATTTCTCTTTCACATTGATGTTTCTCTGTTTCTCTCTCTCTCTCTCTCAAGTCAATAAACATATCCTCAGGCAAGGCTTAAAAAAATATGAATGCAGGGAGGCTTTATGAGATTGTAGATTCTAGGGTTTATAAGATTATAATTCTTGGAAAACCAAAACGATTTGTCTCCATGTCAAAACTAAGGAAGGTAGCGTTTGGCAGAGGACTCCTCTGAGATAAGAGTTCTGATCCTTTCTTGTTTGCTGTGGGTCCTCTATAGGTGGGTAGCACACTCTGGGGGAACGACCCAAAGGAACCAGGCCGAAACCACTGCTGGAGGAGCCCCCAGCACTCAGCTTTCTCTAGGCCACTGTACTTGGAAGTCTGGGCCTGCACGTGGTCACACGTCCCATCCAAGCACACAGGGTGGTAGGCAGAATGCTGGGTCAGAGGCAGGTTCTCATCCCAGTTCTGGCACCATGACGCTGAATAACCATGGACACCTGACTTGATTTCTATGTCCTAAATTTAATTTATAAAATGAGTAGTTTAAACTAGACCAAATGGCTTCTCATCTCTTGTCCGGTAAAAGTCAAATTCATTATAACTGCCCACAAGGTGCCCCCTATTCTGGTTCCTCACCATCTGTCTGGCTCCTCTCCCCAACTGTGATCAGCCCCCTGGCCTTTTCTGGGATACCACGCCCATTCCCACCTCAGGGTCTCTGCATCTGTTCACCTTCTGCCCAGACTGTTCTTCCCCAGGGTAGTCACAGGTCTGGCTTCTTTGTATCTTTCATATGAATCTAATACCACATTCTCAGTGAGGACACACAGTTGCAAATCCTCCCTGACTATACAAACTCACAACAATCCTCATCCCGGGTTTCAACTTAGAAAAAAAATTCCCCTCCATATCACTTAGTAGTAACCCATATACTCTATCTATACCAATCAATCAATCAATCAATCAGTCTATCCCTATATGTGCAGTGGTACCTCAGTACTTATCATTAATTCATTCTGATGAGTGGCAAGCAAGCGACGATTGAGAAAGCACTTCCTCTTGTGGGGATGGGTCATGACTAATACAAGTTCTAGCAAGTGCAATGAGTGGCAAGCAAATGCCCAGTGCTGATACATTTTTTCTCATCAAAATGCGACAAGTACCAGGTTTGACGAGTTCTGAAGCCGACGAGTACAGAGTATCACTGCATATTGCTTTTCATATTTATTTATTTATTAATCCAGAATGGATCAAAAAGAACAATCAAGGATATAGGTGCCAAAGGCCTGAGGTAGCTAGAAAAGTATGCCATAGGAAAAGGCTTATTACCTTGTTTTAAAAGCTGTACCTACCATAAATACTTAGCTTTGTTTTTCATTCATCTAGTTTCCCTTCTCTATGTCTGAATGTTTTACTTATTTGTTTTTCTTATTCTAGAAGGTTGACTCTCCAAGGGCAAGAACTTCTATCTGCTTTGTTTGCTGGTGTTTCCCTGGTACCGGGAAGAGGACAGGAATTCAGTTAAGTTTTGGTGAATGGATGCATGCATGGGTGGGTAGAAGGGAGAGCGAGCACAGCTCTTTACAGTTTCTTCCAGCTATGAGGTCTGTGGGCTGTGAAATCTATGGTCAAGGGCTCTCCTTCACCACTGTACCAGTAGGGACTCCATAACCACATGAAACAACAAGCCATCCCAGAACCAGATGTGATATGCTTTCATTCTGCTGCAGAACTTCTGGTGGGCTCCATGCCCTATGCTGAAAGGCCATAGACACCCTGTACTCTCAGCAGTACCACAGTCTACACAGGTTGTCCATAGGAAATTCTTAATATTTGATAAATATGTTTCTATGGGGAATTCGTTATATTTGATAAACATATTACTCTACAATATATATTTAAATATATATTGTATTCACCCCTACTTTTCCCCTAAGGCAAAATTAATGTCACTTTGGAGAACATAGTCACATCCGTTTCCTTTGTCTAATTCTTGGTGGTAGGTAAGCTCCCCTACCACCAAGAAAACACACTATTAATTCAACCTGAAGTGAGAGGAAATGGGTGATGCTCCCACATGCATTTGGGCCAGTTCCACTAGATGGCAACATGGTCAGGGTGCTGCTGTCCAAGGGTGAAGTTTACAAGCGACCCAGAATAGAGGAGCTCCCACATACCCCTCCTCTTCCTTCTACACGTATCCCCTTGCCTCTTCACCTTTAGCCTGGCTATTTTCAACCAGTAATTTATAATGTGCTTTAAATGGTTCATGCCTACTCATGGGTGTGTTTGCCTTAATCACTCCAGCCTTGGAAAAGTTATATATGTTCTTCTTTCTGCCAAAGTATGTTACTTACCCTCCCTTTGGAACTCTACCCAAAACTCACTTCTTCCATAAAACCTTCCCAACCAAACCTGGCTCTGATCCCAACTTTATATATGCCATGATATATAGTCACAGACATACGACCACTTCTATATACTGGATAGAATATGCTTATATACATACATACAAAGAAAGCTGACAGAGAATCACATGCACAGCTCTGGGCATCTGGTAGCCAAATGTACACTTGACATAAATGATGTGCCAGTGACCACATCCCACGTAACAGAAGAAGTCATGGTCCTAGGAAATCGCATTAGCTGCCAAGCTGTCAATTAATGAGCCAAGAAACTACATATATTAACACCCATCTATGTCTTCCAATTTTTTAGTTCCTCCCTAGCATTCAAGTTGGGCTCCACAAAGTTCTCTGAGCAGAAAAATTCTAAATAAATTCCAACAAAATTTATGTATAAACTTGAAAAAAATGTGTAAATATAAATATAAATTTAAGGACTACTGAAGATTCTCTTTATTTCAACCTTCAAAAACTTTTTCAATTTACCTTAAAAATAAAATTAAGTCTACTTGTAGAAGCATTAAATAAGCTGAAAATAAGCCTGAAGTGTACTTTGAAAGTACAAAAGGGCTTACCTATGGGATAAAATTGCGTATTGGCTGTTAGAAGAAGTGGCAGTAGGGAGGTTCTGACAGACCCCTACACACTGGGAGAACAGAAATAAACACCCGTGCATTCGTAGGCCACCCCATGGTGTCGCTGCCACTACCAGACCACTGGGCGTCAGAGATGTCTTAGACTCAATAAAGCTCATGGAAATTGTAAAAACAAGAAACTTTAAGTGAAAAAGCTATCCAGTCTTTTCGGAGCCCCATTTTCTGAAACACTTCAAGCCTTCATTTGTCTCCAAATGAAACTGTCTACATGCAAATTTAGATGCTATTTTTTTCACCCACAGTAGTGGGTGAAAACCTCCCTCAGCAAAATGCCAGTTCTCCACACCCAGAGTCACAGTGAAAGAAAAGCCGTGATTTGTTGAACACAGCCACTTTAAAGCTGCGACCAGAAGTCATTCCCTCGTAGACAGCAACACCAGGTTACTTAGTCATCTGAACATTCCACCGGATTCCAACATGGACCTTACACCCAGGTTAGTCTGAGGGCAGTTTTAACTCACCTAGTTTCAGCATTTTCTCCCTGTATCGATCAGGACAGCTTCAGAGTCTTGGCAGAGTCACATAGACGGGAGGAAAATGCACAGCCACCCTTGCTGGTACGTTCTCTACGGCATCTGGCATCTGTATCACCTTCAGGAAGAGTCAGTCCTCCTTGAGAATAATTCAAAAGAATCTATACTGTCCTTTTGAAAAATCTACCATGAGCTTTCCAAACAAATGCACAGAGACACTGGTCAACAACAGTCACTTTGAAAGTTGTCTTGCTTGTTATTCTGGGAGCTGGGTTTCGTCACCTGTAGTGGAATGCATTAGGTAGCCTTTAATTTTGAATCCAGAGAGGTCTCCACATCCCAGTGGGGATGGACTGGTTGCTGCCTGCACTTGCTACCTGTAAACTACGGCTACACAGAAACACGGGGATTATCTCTGAGAGGCGAACAGGAGATATTTTCAAAGTCAAGCAGAAACAGGAAGTCTAATGTTTCAACATGCTAGAAAAGAGGAGCGCATACTTTAAAAAAGGGAGCAGCACCAATCATAGATGCCTGGAAAAGAGAAAATAAAAAAACACCTCATTCCTACCTGGCCAGTATAAACATGAATGTGTATTCATAGTTAAGTACTGCTTGGAGGTGTTGTTGTTCTCCGGAAAACTAAAGAAAAGAGTTTGGGCAATGTTCTACTTAAAATCATTAGTCTCTTGCTTCTGAAGAGAATATAAGGTTTTTATTAAAAATGTGCACATGACTATATCCAGACACACACAATGTGTACATATGAATACACAAATATGTGCATATACACCAACAGTCCTTCAGAAGCTTGTTTATTTACTGGCGCTTCGACCATCAGCACCACCCACAAGTCCTTCCCCTCTCATCCCCACCACAGAGACTCCGCCAGTTCTGCCTGGCGCACTTCAAGTGCACCACCTCTGCGAACCCTCTTTCTGTGGATCCCCAGGGGATCACTGGAGTTTTCTTGGTAACACTTTCTGGGTACCTAATCACAGTTGTCCTTATATTATTTTTGGTGACTCATCTATCTATATTCTACTACCTGCTAACTAAGTTTCTTGATTTTATTTTTATGCTCTTGAAGCAATAACACTTTGTCTTGAGTCTAACAGGTACTCAGCAAAAAAAGAAAAAACAGATAGCAAGTGAAATGCAACAGTCAAGTGCTCTGGGGTCTGGTAGGTGTGGCTGATGAGCCAGTGGTGCCGCTTCCTGGTTTTGTAGACTTGTACGCTTCTTGACATCTCCCAGCAATTTTATTCTCTGTAAATAAGAATAACCTCATCTACCTCAGAGAATTGCAATCAGGATGCAAAGAGAACCATGTGAAGCAAATGCAGAGAGCACACAAATGGCAACAAACCTTGCTGTTGACCTGCATTAACACCTTCCACTAAGTGTTTCGGAGAGGAGGCTGAAAGAGACACAGAATCAACACCAATTTACACACATATTATACATTTCTTGTTTTCCTTAGCCTGCATTGTCACGTGACTAAGTTTGGAATCCATCCTTTTGCATTTCTTTGTGTTATCTTCCCAAATTCTGGCTGGCCCCTTAATGCTACGTATTCATCAGGGACAAAGGGTCAAAGAAGATACCAAGAGAATACTCCTCCTGGGAGGGCAGGTTTCTTTTCTTTTTGTTTTTTAATTTTAGTATTTTTGAATTTTGAGAGGGAAGGGAGGAAGAAGGAGAGGGAGGAAAACATTGATGTGAGAACCATCAGTTGGTTGCCTCTCATATGTGCCCTGACTGGGGACTGAACCTGAAACCCTGGCATGTGTCCTGACCTGGAATCAAACTGACAACCTTTTGGTTTGCGGGAGGACACTCATTCAACTGAGCCACATGGGCTGGGGCTGGAATAGCAGGTTTCTAAATCACAAGTACTTCCCAAATCCTGACTCAGTGGCAATTTTGAGGGTAAATTACAAAGTGTAAAAAGCAGAAATGCTACATCTAAACAGAGGGACTAGCATCTCGCATTTCCTTAAAATGTGGTCCAAGTGGTAGCTGCATGGCTAGGAGCCTTCGGAAATCACTCTGTCCACTACAGACAGAAGAAGGAGCAGCACAGTGAAGCTGTGGGAAGCGAAGGCTGGAGGAAGTCATACGGCATCACATAAAAACAACTGCCAACAGTGGCAGTGCCCTCACACATGCTCCAGGCACAGTCAGGGAGGCACCAGCACATTACTGACACCAGGCAAGGGCATAGAAGCCTGTAAGCACTATAGCCCTCTGTATCAGCTGGGCACCTCCACACCCTGCAGGACCAATTCCTGATTTTGCAGAGAGCTCTCCAACAATAGGAGAGTAAAAAGCAACACATCTGGATGGGCAGGGGACCCGTTTCCTTAAAGACATCCTGCCCAGGTCTTACATGCTTAGATTTACTCAAAGTTTGCTGTCTTAAGCAATTCTAACAGTTGTAATTATGTATTCTGGTCATCCTACTTCATTTGGGAAGAAAGAAGAAGCACAGTCAGGGGCTAAAGATCAGGAAGATTTGTGGCACAGTCAAAACTCACAGAACACCCTTCTGTAAAAAAATATCTAACTTTCTTCAATTGCCTTTGTAGATATGAATACAGTTCTTTTTTAAAATTTATTTTTTACATATATTTTATTGATTATACTATTACAGTTGTCCCATTACCACCCCTTCACTCCCCTCCACCCTGCACACCCTCTCCCACCCACATTCCCCCCTTTTAGTTCATGTCCACATGTCATAGGTTCTTTAGCTTCTACATTTCCCATGCTATTGTTGCCCTCCCCCTGTCTATTTTCTATCTATTGTCTATGCTACTTATTCTCTACACCTTCCCCGCCACCCCGCTCTCCTCCGCCCACTTCCCTGTTGCTAACCCTCCATGTGTCCATGTGATCTCCATTTCTGTGGTTCTGTTCCTGTTCTAGTTGTTTGCTTAGTTTGCTTTTGTTTTAGGTGTGGTTGTTACTAACTGTGAGTTTGATTTCTGTTTTTTACTGTTCATATTTTTTATCTTCTTTTTCTTAGATAAGTCCCTTTAACATTTCATAAAATAAGGGCTTGGTGATGATGAACTCCTTTAACTTGGCCTTATCTGAGAAGTACTTTATCTGCCCTTCCATTCTCAATGAAAGCTTTGCTGGATAGAGCAATCTTGGATGTAGGTCCTTGTCTTTCATGACTTGGAATACTTCTTTCTAGCCCCTTCTTGCCTGCAAGATCTCTTTTGAGAAATCAGCTAACATTCTGATGGGAGCTCCTTTGTAGATAACTGTCCCCTTATCTCTTACTGCTTCTAGAATTCTCTCCTTCATTTTTACCTTGGCTAATGTAATTATGATGTGCCTTGGTGTGTTCCTCCTTGGGTCCAAACTCTTTGGTACCCTCTGAGCTTCCTGGACTTCCTGGAAGTCTATTTCCCTTGCCAGATTGGGGAAGTTCTCCTTTATTATTTGTTCAAATAACTTTTCCACTTGTTGCTTTTCCTCTTCTCCTTATGGTACCCCTATAATTCGGATTTTGGAATGTTTAAAGGTGTCCTGGAGGTTCCTAAGCCTCTCCTCATTTTTTTGAATTCTTGTTTCTTCATTCTTTTCTGTTTTGTTGTACCTTTCTTCCTTCTGGTCCATTCCATTGATTTGAAACCCAGTTTTCTTTCCATCACTATTGGTTCCATGTGCATTTTTCTTCATTTCACTTATAGTAGCCTTCATTTGTTCATCTAGTTTGCGACCAAAATCAACCAATTCTGTGAGCATCCTGATCACCAGTGCTTTGAAATGTGCATCTGATAGGTTGGCAATCTCTCGTTTGCTTAAAAGTACTGGCCAAGGGGCTTTTAATTCTGTTTGAGCCATCTTTCCCTGCCCCCCCCTTTGGTCTGGTCGTGCCTGTTGCATATGAGGGGTGGGGCCTTAGGTGTTCACCAGCGCGGGGCACCTCAGTTGCTGGGTTGTGATGTTGTATGTGGGGGCAGGATCTGAGAAGGAACAATTGCACCTGCTCTGCTCTCTCTAGGACTTCAGTACCCTTTGCTGCTTCCCACAAGCAGATTGGGCCCCTCTGGTGCTGGCTCCCGGGCAGGTGGGCTTGTGTACTTTCTAGGACTCCGTGGGTATCCCCAAGGAGCTCTCCTGTGAGGCTGATTCGCCTGGCCTCAACCCCCACAGGTGTTTTCAATCAGTGCTTTTAGACTTTGTTTCCCGGCGCTGAGTCCCTGGGTTGCTCAGTCTGTGTTGCTGCCCGTTTTTGCCTAGTTTATCTGCCCGTGAATGTGTGACCGCAGACAGCCAGCTGCCTTGCGCCCCTCACTAGGTCTGCTCGTTGCCTCCCGCACCCAGGGTCTGCTGCTGGGTCCATCAGCTGCCCCTGCACTTCTGGGGTCCACCAACTGCCGTCTGCGCCCAGTGCACCCACATCTGCCAGCCACTGCTTTTTCATGCCTGGACCCTTTGACCCCTCTCCATAGGCCTCCGACTCCGCTCCTCCTTACAGGTCTGGATGAATGGTTGTCAGACTTTCATTTAGTTCATTTCTTTCTGTTCTGGATGTTTTTTTGTTTCTAAATTTTTGTTGTCCTTAGTTTTGTTTGTGCAAGGAGGCACAGTGCGTCTACCTAGCCTCCATCTTGGCCAGAAGTCCTGAATACAGTTCTTCTATGCTTCCCAGGGACTTGCAAATTAGGACCCTCTCAGGAGCTGCAAGGATCAACAGTTGTGATGGTGGCACAAGGCAGCGGCATCACCCTGTGCTCTGAGGCAGAGAGGGGAAAGGAGGCAGCAGGGATTCCAGCCCTAGAAGCCCCTCCTGGTGGCCCACTGACATAGGAATCTGTCCAGATCCAGCTTTGTTAAAGCAGCTTGTGCTCAGGGATACACGTGGCTCTCCATCTTTTTCTGCAGCAGGGTGCCTCCAGGGAGTACAACTGGCATGGACTGAAATGGAGGCACTCAAAGCTTCACTAGGGAAGTCTGGGTGCACCTTATCTGATATTTCCTTTCCACCTATCTGCAACCACATGACAGTGGCTCTTAGAAAACTAGATCCTCCTCTTTCTGAGCATGCTATCTCCACGTTATCTAGGCATCTCTAAGCAAGACGCTATCACTTAAATCATTTCACTGTCTCCACACCTGATGAAAGTGGGTTGTAATCCCAATTTCCAAAGACACTGACAGAGCAGAAGAGGTTAAGCAGCATATTCAACAGGGCTCTGCAAGGTGAGGCCAGGCTGGGAAGAGAAGCCAGAAGACCTAGGCCCTCCCCTCCCAAAATAATC